GCCAAACGCACAACAGTTATCTGTCTAAGATGAAGGGTACCCTCTTAGAAAAAATTCTAAGGGAACTGTCTCGTATTCACATTACGCATAAGTAAAACCAACCATGTAGTTATTTCGTATGCCTGGGACTAAACTTAGATCAAACTCTTAATATTGGCGGTCTGAACTACTCTGCTACTAAGCACTCTCACTGGGGGGGGGGCAAATTTAAAGAAAGACCTTAGCAATTTAAAAAGTATTTATTAGTTCTCGTATTTAAAGAAAGTTTAAATCACTATGCTATATTTTTTATCAATCTAACAGGCATGGCCAAACTGCGGCTCTCGAGCTACTTGTGGTCCTCTGCCTTCTTAAATGCGATTTGTTTGCAACAGACAATAGTTTAATTTAAAAAATAACTAGATTTTAAAATATAAATCATACAATGACATATTTCTTTATTAATCACAAATTTAATTTCTAAAATTATGTTATGTATATTATTTCAAACTATCTGTTCGCGTTTTATGTAAATTTTGATTTTGTTCTCTGCAGGAGGGCGCCTACGAACGCCGAACTAATCTATTGTATTAACTTGTTTTTCTCACGGCCAATAAACGCAATAACGAACGTGTGTGTCTACTTTCCATCCACTTTACATGGTTCGTCGACAGCCAGAGTAATACTTTTAGATGACGTGTCAAGACATTTTGAACGTTCTAAAATAGCAGGATATTTCCTGCAAAGAAAACGGATTATTTTGTGTCTGGGTTGTGAGAATAGCAGGTGAAATACGGATTTTCTTTTAAAGCAAAAGCGAATCATTAATAGTAAGTTAACTCCTTTAATTTCACAAGTAAATAGTTTACAAAATCAAGAAAATTCTCTTTCGGTCATTGAAGTGAATGGAAATGATGTTAGTACATTGGATGCTGAAGTGAACAGTTTAAACGATAACATTCTTGGTACTTGTTCTGACGCAGAGTTTAATAAGTATGAAATAGAAATGCATGAACTTTTTTCTAAATTAGATGTATTAAAAATTACTTTAAAGGAAGAATCAAGAAAATTTACTAATGCATGTCAAGATATAATGAATGCTAATGCAAATGGTTTAAAACTTCCTCGCGTAGAACTGCCAGTATTTACTTTTAATTACGTTGATTGGATATAATTTTGGGATTTATTTCTTGCCAGTGTTGGAAATAATAGTACATTAAGTGACAGTCAAAAATTGCAATATCTTAAGCTTTCTGTGAAAGGTGAAGCTGCTGCTTTATTACACAATCTGTTCAAATTTCAAACGCGGATTATGAAAAGGCGCGGAAAGCGCTTACTGAACGTTATGAAAACGAAATAGAAATAACAGACGCAGTGTTAAAATAAATTAATTTCACAGCATATTCTAAAACATCAATCAGTTTCAGGTTTGCGGCAGATTAATTGATACAACACAACGGTTTAATTGATACATTAAAAATCCTTAAACAGCCAATAGAGAATTGGGATACTATGATTATTTTTCTGTTAAAAAGAAAACCTTGATCATGAAACACTAAGAGAATGAAAGTTTGAGCAAACAAATAAAAATATTTCTGCTTTCGCTGAATTCAAACTTTTTATTTTAAACGGAGCGAATGCTATTGCTTCTTTGACAAAGTGCCAGAGGGAGGAAGCTGGTTTGCTTTTTGAAACTTTTCGGGTGGTAGTTATATACTTTTCGGTGGTAACTCACAGTTCGGGTGGTAGATATATAGCTTAACTTTTATTTATGTAATTGAGTTTTATTTACTTAAAACATACTATTAATGTTATATATTTATAATAACCACTTTCATAATTACTCTCACTTAAGGAAAAAATAATGAAATCTTAAATAATCGTAATTTAGAATTTAAGTTATTTAAAAAATATAGTTTAAAGTACTGAAAATAATTAAGACTATTATTAATTATGCATATCTAGTCTAGAGAGAAATTTAAAAACTATAGTTTAAAGTCTTGGACTTCACTTGCGAAATGCAGAGTTTCAACCTCTGGCATTCTATGTTAAGCTGTTTGAGAGAACCGTTCACATTATCATCAACACAGCCTTCAGGCTATAACGGTGAAGACAACTTCACGGCAAAGCACTAAAGTACTTCTCCCGATTTGGCCAATGGCTCTCAAGCTAATATCTGAAATCAAGACACCACTACACTACATAATTCAAGATATTCCTGACTCTACTGTTATCTCCGCTTACAACCAGGGTATATATAGCTTCAACCTACCTTCGAGAATATTCTCGGGAAAATCGCTAAGAAGGCGTTCTAGAATGTTCTCGTTCCATCTATGACATATCGCCAATTTTGTCTCCAAATGCGCGATTTCGCGCCAAATCTTGCAACCCTGCCTTTCTCTGCCATTTTCTGGAAACCCTAACCCCGCTTCCAGGGGAAGCTATCTGGCGCAGCTGGGAATTTCGCAACACATTTATTATTTATACATATATTAATAATTTATTATACATTATTGCTATTTATACAGATATTTTGCATTATTATTTGTTAACAGTGTAAAAGATATAAATCAATAGCAATTTGCATTGTTCACTAGATGTTCTTAAATTATATGCTAAGTAAGAGTATGATATTTAAATATAATCAGAAATTTCTAAATCATATGATGAGAAGGCCAAGGAGAAAAACACAACACGGGAAGCAAAATGCGAATAAATACGTTATCCACTTATTTAAACGCTAGTCACGTGTTCATAATAGGCTCTACAGTGAATTAAAACAGCTCAAGTCAAATGAAATTCTCTCAGAGATTTACGCTGAATATCAAAAAGGAAGAGCAAATAGAATTCACACATTTTAAGTTTCTTTTAAAGATGACAGTGTCGCTGCCTTACCTCATTTTAATAATTTGTCATTCAAATTTTCTCGATAGTATTTCCTTTTCCTTTAGCAATTAGTGAACAATAATTCGTTTACAGTTAAATTAGAAATATATGAACTAAATTCAAGTAAATTAAAAACCTGCAGATTTGGTGATCTGATGAGAGATGTGGTGAAAAATCGGCAACCTCCTGGTTTCACTGGAAAGATTCTGGAGCTCCTAAGATCTATAATTAATCGCATTTGTTTACTATTATCATTAAAACTCGTTTATTAAATATAAACTTAACCGTTATTAATATTTACACTGGTGTGCAAAAATTAAGGACGAGACGGGTTTTTCAATATAACTTTGTACAAAAGCTTTCCAAATCAATACATTTAATACCGTAAGATCCCCAATACGTAAGGACATGAGTATTGTAAGCAACACTTAATAAAAGAGAAATCAGAGGGATGAAAAGAAGATTTATTGAAAAAGTAGCATGGAGCGCAATGCGACTGAAGACTGAAACATCCCTGTGATGGGTGTCCAGCAAGAAACATCCGGTCTTTAATAGAGGATATGATCTCACCTGACTGCTAGGCAGGTTTGCTAGTCTCTCCATTCGTCTTGCAGAGCCAATCGAAGCTCCGGAATCGTTACTGGTGGTAAGCTACGAGCTGCCAAGCGTCTGCCTAGAAAATCCCATACATGCTCGATGGGATTGAGATCCGGAGATCGTGCCGGCCAATCCATACTTTCAATATCCTCACTCTCTAAGAGCTGTTCGGCAGCTACTGTGCGATGACATGGTGCATTGTCGTCCATGAAAAGGAACTGCGGACCCATAGCGCCTCTAAAAAGACGCACATATGGAAGAAGAATCTCGTTACAATAACGGGTCCCGGTGACTGAACCTGCGTCGAAGATGTGAAGGTCTGTACGGCTACCAAGCATGATGCCTCCCCAAACGAGGACACCGCCACCTCCATACCTGTCCCTTTCAATGATGTTCGAGGGATGATTGCGGCTTCCCCGCTCTCTCCAGATGAGTATGCGATGAGAATCGCTACTCAGACTGAATCTACTCTCATCTGTAAAGAGTACTCGTCCCCATTCATTGTCTATCCAATTCCGGTGTTCCCGGCACGACAGAGAACGCCTTCTCCGATGGGCAGGCGTTAGAGGTACACACCGTACAGGGCGTCGTGCAAACAGACCACCACCGTGCAGTCTTCTGGCCACGGTAAAACGCGATATCGGTCGTCCAGTCGCCTGTGTCGTGTGTCTAACGATTTCTCCCGCTGTCTGCCGCCTGTTTCTTCTGACCTGTAAGGCAAATCACCGGTCATCTGCGGGTGTGGTTCCTTGTGGACGACCCCTACTAAATCCCCGGATAGCTGTTCCTGTAGTTTGAAATTGTCTTAAAAGTCGTGAAACGATGCTGTGAGCAATTCCGAACTTTGCAGCCACACTTGTCACACTGCGGCCTTCCTCCAACTTCCCAATGATTCGACCTCGAGTAAAAGCATCCAGATGTCGTCTAACAGATTGATTATTCGCCATTTCTCGCTGAGGCAGCAACTCGGTGTGATTTTAACTGCTATACGGCGTGTAATCTCTTTGCCAGAAATACTGATCTTACACCGACAACATGCTTTATATTACTCAGACACTCCCCCATTACGTCTACCTGCATATCTGCGCATGTGCTACCGTACATCACCTTACTTAATCTCCTGATTGGTCTTTCTGCCCGCTCTGCCTCTTCGTTCAGCTGATATGCTAATTTTTCGACTTCGTCCTTAATTTTTGCACACCAGTGTACACCAGCGTTCTCTTCCACGACTTAAACCACCAACTTATGCGTCAAAAAATAAGATATGTTCTGCACAATATTAGCCTTTTACATTGCGTAAGGGAATAATTAAATATGTCAGTGAATGAATTAGGAGTTTGATTCTCTTACGTCCCCCCCAACCAAAAAAAACATACGGTCTGAGAAAATGGGATTCTACTACATTCGAATTTTATGTTCGTTTAAGATCTAAGAAAATGCATTGATCCTTATATAAGAAATATACATTCAAAAACATTTTCCCCTTTACTCTGTTATAGTTTGTCCACAGAAAACAGAAAAAGGGGGGAAAAGGTTACCTTGCGTATTTCCTTGGGGGGACTGAGACCCCTATTCCAACGCGATACAGAAGGAGTCCTTTGTCCGGCAGAGCAGACGCCGGCAGCGCCCTCTCACATCCATTACCGCACATCCTGCAATATAAAAAATAATAATTAAAACACGTTGTTGCTCGTCGGGAAAGCGGTTACTCTACGTCATGTACACAATGTATGGTATCAGAAACATCTTTTATTAATGAAAATATTGTTTGTTGAAGAAAGCAGAAGTTGGGATATGCAAATGATTAGTATTTCTGCGCATTTAAACAACGCAGGAGGGAGAAACAACATCTGAAACAATGCATAAAAGAAAAGTTGTGTAGTGGATTTCTCATTTGGAAAGTGATTTGTAAGGTTGAAGTTTGCTCATAATATCGTGTTATTCCTCAAATAAGAAGAGGAAATGCTTACCAGCAAGTTTCAAAATTCGATAGAGGCAGGATCATTGTCTATCGAAAGTGTAGATTATCGTTCCGTCATATCGATGGTCGCACTAGTCAACATCCAACCACTGTCATGCGAATATGTAATCAATGGGTTGCTGAGGGTCATACAGAACAGCATGAAGGATCTCAACGCTCTCCCACGACTAACACCAGAGAGGACAGACATATTGTGAGGTTAGCCCTGCGAAACCGTACGACCACATCATGGACCATTAGTTAGGAAACGGACATGTTTGCAGTACGCCCAGTATCAGTTCCTAAGGTGCGCTGACGTTTGCGGCAGCTTGGAATATCAACAGGGTGACCGTTAGCATATTTCACAAGCGCACATTAGCATAGCAACTGAGGGAGGGGTTTCGAAAACTGACCAATGAGCTTCTACTGCTCTTGTGACGCTAAATCTTCGAGCCTGTGGGCGTATGCTGTTTACGTTTTACTTTGTATTTTTTCGGAGTTATAAATGTATGGTGTAATAGCCGTAAATCTCGTAGTGTTTATGAGTTTTTGATTAATCGCTGACATTTCACTTTCGCGATTTTTATCACGCATTAATATTTGGATTGATGTTCACGCGTATTATCGCTTTTTAACATCGAGAAAATGATTCAAGCTACAGTTAGCCTGGAATATTATGCATTTACTAACAGCTGTGGATTAAGAGAATTCAAGTGCATAATTTTTGGGACTGGAAGTGTTACAATGAATTTAGTGTTTTCTTATTTCAGTGCTTGCATTTGAATTTTAAAGTGTAAGATTCAGAATACATATTGTGTATGATCTGATTATATTCATTATTAACAGTAAAAGTTAATATGTAAATAAATTAAATATATTCGTTGTGAATAAGCTAAATTCATTCAGTTTGATGAGCATTTCTTGTTTAGACAGTACAATGTAAGAGTGAGCAGTTATTAAATGTGAAAATTTAACGCAACAAAATGTATACGAATAGAAATTAGTAAAGTTCACTTTCAATAAAATTCTGCATTAGTTATTAGAACATCTTTTTCATATATCCTGCAATAAAAATTCCTGACTTCTATTTAAAACTGGTATAAATATTTTATGCAGTTGGTATAAATATTTTTCTCATATGCATAGTTTTATATAAAGATAGCATTTTGGGCTCAGATGTTTATCACATATTTCTTTCTTCATATTAATTACCACTTATTAAGTAATATGTCACATGGATATTTTTGCGGAGTATCCAACATGTGTTTGTATTTATTTCAAATTCTTTCAACCAGGTAGTGAAATCTTCACAATTGCTTATATTTGATCGAATTTCGCAATGAAAAGTTTCAGAATAAATCGATGATGCTTTAATTATTTTGTACAGATAAAATTATGTGGCAAAATATTTTCAACCATCTTGCTTAAATCTTAAAGCAAGCGAAAGGTCATGTGACATGACAGAAATATTACTGGGTGCCCATTGGTCCATCCTAGAAACCACTCCCGAGGTGGCTAAACTGATGTGCACTTATGAAATATGCTGACCGTTACCTCGACGACGCAGCAATGTAGCATAGAGATGGCGACTCTGGTCCGCCGAACGACAAAGCTAGATACATAGTGGCATAATGTCTTTTCAGACGAGAGTTCTGCGAACAGTAGTCTGATGGCCGTATACGTGTCTGGGGCTCCGAGGAGACCGTACGTCGTCTGCTTGCTTTCGATATGGGCATAGGAGCCCTGCACCTGGTGTGATGGTTTGGGCTAAGAATTAAAAACTCCTAAATAATAAAATGATAAATGAACTAGACATATATAAATGCTGAAAGTGGCCACAATTTCAGGACTAAATAAAATACACAATAAATGAAAGTGAACGCCATAAAATACAGCAGAAATTAAATAAATAAATAAACAAACAAAACAAGATATACACTAGCACTCAACAGATTAAAAATGCATAAAAAACCAATATTTAAGCAAATGAACTCTAATATGTAAAAAACTTTGCAACAGCATTAAGAACATAAAAATATAAATTATTGTTATGAAATAAAATAAAGTTATAAATTATACAGACGCTGTTTTATTATTGTTAAACTGCTCAATTTGTTAATCAATACTAGACATTAAATTTGAAAGATAAATTAAGATCTTATTTTTAATTAAATGGTGATATTCTCTGAACGGCTAACCGTGAGAGCACGTCGATGTTAAAAATCTTAATTTCAAGCATTCAAAGCAGCACTCGCCGAACGCACATTTCTAAATACTTTCGGTATTCTTATCCATCATTTTTCATTCAAATGGTGATATTCTCTGAACGGCTAACCGTGAGAGCACGTCGATGTTAAAAATCTTAATTTCAAGCATTCAAAGCAGCACTCGCCGAACGCACATTTCTAAATACTTTCGGTATTCTTATCCATCATTTTTTTTTTCCAATGCATGGTCGTGTTTAGGGGTTTTATTTTACTATGTAAGGATTTTACATTATAAACTAAACGAACACACGTTCATTGAGGTTTAAGAAAATAAAATAAAACTGCAACCTGAAAATTTCAGATTGTAATTTTACACTTACAAATATTTTCCATAAAGAATTCATTTTTTAAAAAAACTACAATATGAAACACCGAACAAAGTTTAAAACATACTGCAGTCAGATTTTCGCATGCAGATAATAACTGGACACCTACAACACTTTTAAACTAAAGAATCGCTATAGGTCTGTTATTTTAAGGTCGAATTTCCGAAAATTCAAGTTTACGGAACATAAAAATCAAACATTTAAAATGCTCAAAACAAGAGTGTCAAACAGCAGAAAAGTCAAACTCTTTGAAATTTTATTATATCGTAAATTAATGCCAAGGGTAAACTTTAACATTTATTGAATAAAGGCGTTTTTTCAAGTCAAGATGCAGCTGACTTGAAAGACGCGGCTTGACTTGAAAAGGATGAAAGGAGTCAAGATGCAGCTGTGCACTTTTTTTCATTGGACCGATTACCTGTGGGATTTGCTATTGTACTTCTCACAACTGAAGCGGCAACTAATCCTGTTTTTTACATGATATTAAAAATAATCGGAGTGAAAAGAATAACATCTTTTTCGGGGTACTAATAAAAAATTTTAATTTTCAAAGTGTTAAATTTTAATTTTTTAAAGAAAATTTAAGTTTTCTTTAATAACTGAGAATCGTAATATTCCTGTCGTAGGATTGGAATGAAAATTAAAAGTTTAAAGCAGAACTTTTGAAATTTCATAGAAAGCGTATTCAAAAACGAATGTGGCAAAAATGATGAATGCAATAATCAAGCATTTCTTTTTTCCTGAAAAAAAGAACCTGACAATGAATAATGTGAAAAAACGTGCGGAAAAGCATAGGTATAAAACACGTGTAGCAAATAATGTTTGAAAAAAACTGCATTGCTTAATTTCTGTATTGGTATTCTGTAACATATATAGACGAATTCTCTGACTAAATGGGGTTACCTGAGCATTCTACCGGAAAACGAAAAATACACCAAGAGGTTTTTTTACATTTATTATAGATAAGTGCATGAACATTAATGTGGAAGTGAAACGAAGCTAATGTTCGTTGCTTTAGCAATAAATTATCGGTGGCAGCAGAGTTACGAAAAAAAAGAGGTCAAGACGTGACCTTCACGAACTGCAAGGCCATGACACTTATCGAGCAGCTGCGGAATGAGTTACCCTGCCGGTTCGTTCCTCTTTCAACATTCAGAGCTTTTAGAAAAAAACCTGATAAAAATCTCTGATCGTCCTCTTAGAAATTCTTCACGTTAGAAATGGTGTTAGTAAAATCTCCGAAATGTCTGGATCGTCACGTTACGTTATTTTACGCGACCAACCATTTATCATCATACAACTCAGCATATGTAGCCAATGCGTGGAATATAGGATTTTGAATTTACTTCCCCCCCCCCTCATGCAGACTCATGGCACAGCTGATTCTCAGAATTTTACCATTCACAAAGTGTAACATGGATCAAATATAATTAATATGTGACCGAAAAAAAACTCAGCTATCTGAAAGTAATGAACACCTCCTCTTAATAATTTATTTTTTATTAAACAAGCTTTATATTATTTTATTTTCTAAAAATGTTACTAACTGATGTAAATTACAGTATGCCCAGTTAGTTTCTGTGAAATATTGCAACTTTGCCGCTATTCTTAAAAAATGGTTCTAGCGCTATGTGCTACATAAATGGTGCAGAATCATTTGATTCCTTTAAATAGTGCATATGGGAGGGTTTTATGAAAACAAAATTTTAATTTATTAGTTCTGGTGAACGACTGTGTAGATGTCTGTATATTTTCCTTCTTCCTGGGACTCAGTTAGTGTTAGGTTTTTGCAATGAAATGGTCGATTTGAAGGACGATTGAAAAAGAAGCGAATAAAAGAAATCTGTCTAAATAAACCCGCTTGATTAATCTATAGCAGCAGGAATGCATTGTTGTCACTGTGAGACAAAGCCATTTATATCAACACGTTTGCAACATTAGCTTCTCTGGAAGTAATGAAGTCCTCCACTGCTCGCTAAATTGATGCGTTGGTAACAATGCATTTCTTGGACAAAAAAGGGGCTCAAATGCAGGCACAATTTCATTTCTCAAGTTGCTGATTTGCTGTAAGGTGGACACAACTATACGCTGTCAGGCGT